AACTTGGAATTGTCGTAGGATCATTGTTACCTTGGAGTCGCGCTAGATATATTGCATTCTACGCGTGACTACTCTATTCCGTCTGAACTTTCTCAGAATGCCAAAACTCGGTGAAATATTGTGTTATAACGCTTAGAAAATGGTAATTTTAAGCAATTGTGTCATAACGCTTAGAAAAAATTGAACAAACTTTTAACAGTAAGAAATGATATGCAGCTGCCAATTCTTCGAACATTGAATTACTTTTTCTAATCAGAATAAAATTTTGATTTGTATAAGAAAATATTTATATTATTTAAATTATTTATTATTCGTCAAGACTTTTTCACAAGATTTTAAGACGTCTCGCGCTCTCACAATTAATTCAAAAGCACTTTGCATAATGGAATGAATTAAAATTTTCACTTTGTTTAGTCATTGTTAGTTAGAATATTTTTATTATAACGAACGCGGTGACGTTGGCGAGTCCGCGATAGCAAAATTTTATTTGCGAAAAGGTAACAAGTCGATCGTCTTCAACGACGTACATCACGTTGATCTCTCGATAAACTCGGTCGCGACACACGCTATCGATTGTAGCTTGCCGCAAATACGGCGCAGGCGTGACAGACTGGCAACAATTGCGCCATGTAAAACACCGAGTCGCATTCTCGAAAATTGGGAAATGGAAAACAGATTAAAAAGGACCGTACTGCACGACCGCGTTACAAACGTGCCAGGGTTGAAATTAAACTAGAACTGGTAACTCCGTTCGTAATCAAATTCGTCAAGGGAAAATAATCAATCATATTTTGAGACCAATAATCTGTATATACCAGATTTTCACGTACATACATTTGCATATAAAAATATTTCGTTATTACTGAGATGTAAAACGCAGTGTAAAATATTTTTTTTATCGTCGCTGTAATTGTTAGAAATGTAATTTCGTTTGACGTTACCGGCACCCCCCCTGGGTATTTATTTTAAAGGACGCACATTGAATATCCAATGCAATCCTTTGCCGGGAGAATAGTTGCGTACGTGCGGGTGAATCGAGTTTTAATCCCGTTGCGTCAGTAAAACCCCCCTTTGCCGGGATTAATAATCACCGTGGTTGCATGCCTCAAAGCCGATTGATCGCATAACGCTACGCAGCTCCGACTAATGTCACCTGATAACCTATTTACGGCCTATTTTGCCTTTCTGCGATACACTACCTCGCGGTTGAAAAACGAAAGCGTAATCAAAAAGAAGATAAGGGAAATGCATGTACGTTGATATTTAATCTGCAGTCAATCTGTGAATGCTATCCTCAATCGTTTGTTTAAAAAATCGATTGTTCTAGCAGGAGAAAATTTTCAAATTTTTATTTCTCTATAATAATTATCGAAAATCTCGTTTTGGGATTAAAATAAGAACAAATATAAAAGTAAGTCTGAGATCGTGTATATTTTTTTATATATCGCACAAGAATGTAAGTCTATTTCTTGAATTGCGCAATATGTTCATTTCGTGGTTCTATGGTAAAAAATCTCTGAAAACTCATTCGGCTAAACACACAAAATGGAAAGTCGCTTCGCGGATTTTTTTTCTCAAATTCTGTTACTTTGTGCGCGCTATTCGTACCGCAAAACATCCAGAGATCCATTCTAAAAAAATCTGCAACGTGAATCAAGAGACGCGGCATATCGGTTGTATTCAAGCTACAAAAAAAAAAACAACCGAGAAATTGACGTTTCAATTCATGTAGGTATGTATGTGTTTCCGAAGGTAAAACAAAAAATATGACAAAAATAAGGACAATATATAAATTCAATAAAAATAATCCAGTAGCGATTAAAGCCTCCGCGGCAGAAACGTGACAATATAACAGTCCATCGCGCGCCGCTGAATAAATAAAAGATATGGCATTTCAATTATCGCGCGCTTCATAATTTCGAGTGGGAACAAACGAGTAGGCCGCGATGCGTCGTGCAAACTTTTCGAATGCAAATTCTGCGAACCATTCACCCGTATGACAATCCTTCGTTAGGAGAATCTCAGGACGCGAGGGAACACGCGAACATTTATTCGCATATAACGGAATTCTTCTGCCTTTCTTTCTTTCCCCTCGATCGAAACTTTTTAAAGTTCCAAACGCGATAAATTATCGAAGAGACGCGCGATCACCGTTTCTCGTCGTTCTCGAGGAATCGCGAAAAGCCTTCACGATCGCGGCCCAACTGGCGTTGCTTCCCACGAACCTACATCACGGATGCTGATTGGCTTACGGGTCTTTTCACGTCCGCGACGTTTTCCCTTCTCGACCTCGACCTCACCGTCAATGCATATCCGGTGCACCTCATTCGATTATGTCCCCAGCGCGTCTTGTAGCGTTATCACGTATGAAACTGACTAGTGCAATCCAATTATCGTCATGACGGCCGCCGGCGTCAGGACAGATCCCGCATCCCGGACAGATTTTATTCTGCTTTGATACGTTATACGAACGTCGCCGTCGCGCCGTCGAGCTTTTATTCGAACTGGTTTCAACCGGCTGGAAAAGATTGCCGTATAAAGAAAGCGATGCGATATCGTACGATAGAAATACAGATATAAATCGAAGCGTTTATTCGTGCAATCACGCTTGCTGTATTTTAATTTTTATATAAAAATATTAATTTAAATTTGATCCCTCTTTCCCTCCCTCTCCGTGAATACGCTATTAAATTTATGAAAAAAAATTCTACGTATAATAGATTTGTTGAACACATGTATAGATGGTATAGAATTGTAGATATATACAATACATATTCATCGGTAGATCTATATAAATCCATATGTAAAATATCGCAGAGTTAGCGATTCACAAAAAGAGTACACGCAAATTAAAACGTTTGTGAGATAGTTCATCCCGTAATCCCTGATGCGATCATTTCGATTAATAGTTTCAGTATTTTTCCCTGTGTGTTTTTGTTTTATTTTATCTGAGCCATTTAATTAAATAATACTTTTGAGGTTCCTATTTAATGATACGTTAGTGTATTGCAAAAATTACTATAACGGCGAACAAGCAGCACGGAAATTGGCTACGTCGCTATTAGCCTGTTTTTTTGCGTTGTCTCCAAGGGAAAAAGCACTTGAAGATACTGATCCAATTAGACGCCACGATCTTCTTCGCTGACTCGTCTCAGAGAGTAGAAATTTGCTGAAAGCTGAAGTCTAAAGTCACGCGGATATTGCGCGTCATAGTTAGCCACTTTGCTGAGGAATGATTACTCCCTTTCGGCAATCCCACGCCTTTTTACCACGCATGTACCCTAGGGTGGAAGACGGTTGCAAACTTAACCGATAATTCACTGGTTAATATCAACACGCGGTTCTTAACTTAAAGATTAATTATCTTCTTTAAAAGCGAATTCTTATGCTTTTATACCTCTATAGGATTATATGAATTTCAATTTTCTTTACACAACTGCAGTTTTAATATCTGAAGTTACACAAAATATTCAATGCGTCTCATATACAGCCTTTTAATTAAATTAAATTATAATGATATTAGATTCGAGATTAAAATCGGTGTTACATCATCGTCACAGAAAAATGTTGATTTTAGATTATTAAGAACCACGCCCCTGAAATTTTCGATACAAATCTTCCCGCTCGCATATACCTAATGGAAAAATCGATATTCGCTTTTCTGACGGTGCCAACTGTTAGTTTTAATATCTCGTAGCAATATCGGTGTGATAAAGAACGATGCTCACGGCAAATTCACGAAGATGTCATAAATTTACGGCGGCGCTCGTACGTCTTCTCTTTCGAGGCGACGCCTGACGTAGTTCGGGGTGGTAAGTGCCGAGGGTGGCACCGGCTATATCGCGGCTTCTAATTTCCACCGACGACCTTGGGCAAAGAAATCGTAAATTTCTCACGCCCACGAGTTCTACCTGGGCGTGGCAGGCGCGACGAGAGGAAGCAGATAGAGACGGCCGAGGGAACGGCCGGCGATCTTTTCCCGAGAATCGAAAGCTCTCCCGCTTTCGCGACACGCGGTATTCCGATTATTCATGTCCTCGAGACGTCGTACTGTCTCAAAAAAAAGTCGCGTATTTTTCGTGGCTTTTTCACTGTCATCACCTGCACGAGATCATAAAAGTGCTTCTCTTAATCCTGAATAGAAATGTACCGTCGAATAAGATGCTCCCTGCAGAGAAAATTCAATGGTGTCGTTTAACCAGAAGAGTGAATTCTGTTTTCTTGATGTAGAGAATACGAATCGACAGATAAAGAAGACTGTAATAACTGTAAAAATTATCCGCTCCGTAGTCATTATAATATGACGCGGAGCTTTTAATCTTCACTTTTACTAGACGAACAAAAGTCGGAGTGAGTCGCGTTTCAATCGCGATGTGGCTTTTACGTCTCGTCGAATTTTGCTGTTAGTTCTCACGATAAATGCATTTCACTTCTGCATAACTACATATATTTCCGGCACGGTAGCGGTTACAGCGCAACCCGTATTTTGCGTACCGTTGTCGGGGAAAGTCCACGATGTACCCTGTAATCAGAACACTTTCGCTCCGCCAAGTCAAAAGCAATAAACACATTTCGTATATCTTGACGCAGGTGCAGTGCATCCCGCTTTGGTAACGTGCACATTTACTTGCAATTTCGTCGACACGTCGTTCCTCACCCCAATGTTGTTTCTGTCGACGGAATTACGCCGAGAAACTTCGCGTTCAATATCTGATTTACGAAAATTTATTCGCCTTTGATTTTAATTTCAAACATTAAACATTCTAACGTAGTTTTCATCTTGATCGTAATTAAAAATCCAATTAATTACACGAACGTAAGAAGAAGAGAAATGCGATTGAATTTTAATGATCAAAAGATCGTTGTCATGTTAATCGTTACCCAGTCGAAATCAGATTATTTCCTATTCTAAGAATTTTAAATTTAATTGAGTATTATATGCGATAATATCATTTAATATCATTACTGAAGTCAAATACACTCGATTTCTTTTGTTGCAGGATGGACCATGAAGAAACGCGGTGCCGGCTGGTTTTAGACGAGCAGTCGGCCACGCTTGCACCCTACCGTCGGACGTCGTTGTCCACAAGTTCCCGGTACGACCAATCCCGAAGCAAGCGGCAGGTGTCGCGTGTGACAGCAGACACGATAGGTGCGATAATCGGGGGTGGCCCGGTCGTTGCCGCCGCCGGGCCGGCGATGCGACGATGAGTTCGCCGAGGGTGCTGCTACCCCTCCACACCCGACCAAAGGTGAGACTTGAAATTACTGATCGAATTATCGCTGGCCTTATGTGCTTCTATTTTTTTCTTCTTTTTCTTTTCTAATTGAAAAAATTGTTTTCGTTGATATTTATTATAGTTAATTATATTTGCGATTGACACACGACGTTTTGTCTTTAATAGAAGTATTCCCTTGAAGAGATTAATTAATTGATCTTATCACGCGAAATCATTTCTTAAGTAATTTCCAGTTTGTTAGTATAGTAGTATATCAAATTATACAAGCTTTAGCTAGATGTTTGAGAATGCACCTTGTTCACTGTTAGAGTCGCGAGTATCGAAAGGAAGAGGGCTCTGAAGAAAGGGAGGGCGCACGACGGGTATAGAGAGTATAATCTAGAACGACCCAAAGCGTTAAGAACCGCATACTGTGTATTCTTTAATAAGGCATACTTTTCTTATTACTTCTACCTTTCCTGCGAGCTAAAACACAACAGTTAGATGTTCCTTAAGTTGATACTTTAGATGATTAAATTAGATTAATTATTAGATAAAACGAAATATGTCACTTTTTTTTTAAAGTTAAATTATACTCGGATAAATCATCATTTTTTATTTTCTTTGGCATATAGAGAGGCTATTTCGTGTATGATGAAAGTCCACGTTGATTATGTATCGAACTTTAAGTCGAGCAACCTTGAGATATTATTGACATGGCATATCTCATTGATCCATTTATTCCTTCGAAAAAGAGAGAGTAACGAAACGTATAATCACGAGTGCGAAGAACACCGGTGCGCGAAGTAACGTTGCTTATTTGTCGTGCCTATAGCAATCGCTACATTGCGAAACGTTACAGTAACGCGACAAATAGAACGTAAAAGAACGTTTGTTAATGCAAGTGGCCGACAATTTCGTGCCTAAGTCTCTCATCTTTGTGCCCCCGACAGCCCCGCGTAATAGCAAGGCCGGGTAGTCTCGAAAACTGCATCAACGAGGCCGAGCGACGAGGAGCGGCAGGCGGTTCAAGGCCGAAACTATCCGCGTGGCCATGGACCACGAAGCGAGGAACGGAACCGGCAGCAACGACAACGAGGAGTGCACCAATATTTACTTCATCGTCGGCGACCGCAGGGAGACGGCCACTTACAAGGCGAACCAGGTCACGGACATGGAACTCAAGGGTGAGTGGGAAAGTTTTATTGCCTCGTTTGCGAAAAGTTCCATCGACTTTTCTGTCGTTCTCGAACGAACTTTTTCATTTATTTAACGCAGCGATCTCGAAATACCCGTGCGTGTTGAGAAAGTATGTATATGTATTGCGCGCGGTGAGAACGATCAACTGTAATTTTCGTAAAATCGTCGGTCTATAGACTATGTTGGCGCGAAGACAAGGCAGAATTTTAGATACTAGGTACAGTTATATTAACGTTTTCATAAAATCAAAACGCTTTGAGTGTTTATTTATAAAACCGAACAGTTAAATACATTTGTCAATATACATTGATAATTATATAGAAATTTTACAGGGATTGCCAATAAATTAACTTTTTAATGTGTAGCAGTATAGTACAACATATAATTAATATCATGGAACATGAACGATAGAAATTTGTAATTACATCACGCAATAACAATTTCGCTATGAAAAAGTATTATAACTTGCCGGTGATATTCGCTGAGTATGTAAAAATATTATAAAATACATTTGTAGTACTAATAATCGGATATTAATTAAATAGCTAATTAAAACATTTAGAAGTTGACAGCTTTTAAGAGGACTCGAAATTGTTGTTCTTACTATCTATATTAGATACAATTGACGCTTAAGAATTTTTATCGTCTTAAAAACTCGATAAGTCTAAGTATGAATACAATAAAATTCTTTGCCTATTCAGGAATATTCAATTTATCAGCAATCCAACTGAATCGCGCGGGAAAGAGGCATTAACGCGAAAGTTAGCCGTTCATTAATCTTTCGACGGGAAGAGATATTTTATCCCGGTGCCGCGAATATCTCTCTCACGCCGGCGAGCACCTTTACCCTGTCCTACGCCTCGAACTTTTCACTCGGGCTTTATGACCGCGCGAAAGTGTACTTCGCGGATAAAAGAGTGAGAAGCTTCCTCCCGAATCAATGGTATCGGAAGGCTAACGAATATTTGATGTACGTAAGATTTAATCAATTATCGATCGTGACGCGATGCGACGCGCCGCGACTCGCCGCGCACGCGAGCCAGTCAATCCGAGACGTTCGCTTTATGCTTTTGCCCGGCGCCCGATATGAAAGCTTTCTCTTTGGAGGGCGCACTACCGAAATTATGTTTGCACACACTTCACCTTCGTGCCGTGACCTATCGACCGGAGTGCCGCCGCGCCGCGCTACATTGGGCCGTTTCTCTCGGCTCGGTTGAGTGGCTGACCGAGCCGGCGCCCTCTTATGACCCTCCCCCCCGCCGTCTGGAGGGTAAAATGACATGAGCACGCACTTGTGCCGCAACTCGTCCCGAGTCTTTCAACCCTTTCACGGTTGGGATAATTTTCTCGATTTTGAGCGAAGCGACGGCAAGCTCGAGAGCGCACAGAAACGGCCCTGCAGATTGAAAATTTTTTATCCTTCTCGCCGAGTTGATACTCGGTTCTCCATATTTGACCTAATTTCGGTTTCTTTTCCATCTAGATTTTTTTCTCCTTTTTTTCGGTTGACGGTACAGTTTTCCTCTTTTCGCCACTTTATAGTACACCGTATTTTGACTATATACCACTTTATGCGTTACTGCAATGCGTATTATATTTTATAATGTATCGTAGTTTATTGTACTGTAGTTTTATTGTACCTTTCGTATTGTTACTGCGGCGCGCATCAAAATTTTATTTACATAGCAGCACAATGGCTTTCTCGTTTAGCTTTCGGGTAATTCGAAGCATTGTTTAATTAGCCTTTGCGTGGCTTATATTGCTTTATTTCATTATTTATCTATATACTATGTACGTTTAACAGGTATAAAGCGTATGCGAGACTAAAAATTATTCTAAATAATCTTGATGGAATCTTAATAAATTAATTTTAATTACTCCAATATGATTTTTTGCTTTTTCAACAGCAAAGCTTCTGCATGTGATCTAAATTAAACTATTTAAGCTTAGATTATTCAATATCAATAATGTCCTAATTAATTATACGGTTCTCGTTGGAAATCAACACGTCAGAAATAGAACATTTCAATTTTCAAACTCGGTCATGTAATTATCCCCGCGCGTGTCTAATGCTAATATTATCGGGTAATTATTATAGTAAAATAGTGTTACGATCGATGATATGGTGTCATGCGAATTTAACGGTGCGTTACTTATACGAGGGGTTACATTAGTTAATTAAAATTCTAATGCAATTACAACGGGTGTACAACCTTGTACGCCTGTTAAGGGAAACGGCTTTGTCAGCAACGATGTTACCAGCGACGTTACACGACAGCACAAAGTCATAGTACAACATGGACAAGTTCTCGTCAACGGGAGCCTTATCGTGCAGGGTGATCTCCGATCCGTTGCGTTGTCCTAAAGCCGAGAGCTTTCCGATCCCTTTAACTTCGCTGTTTAACGCTCGAGAGGACTGCACGTCGTGTTAACCCGTGATTTTTCTCTTAAAATTCCTGCTCGTCAATCAAGATTGACGTATGCAAACCATCATCGCCAAAAATAGTGAATTTCTTCCCGTTCCATCGATTACACGGATACTAAAAACCGATATTAAAAAGAAAAACGTGACTTTTGATTAATAGATTAAGAGGGTTAATAAATTGACGGCGCCATAATGCATGTATCTGCCTATTGAGATCCTTTATTAAATTTTTATGCCGACGCGTGACGGGAAAGTTGAGCTCGTCGTTTATACCGGTCGATTTCAATATCGATTTTAAGACTGTAACATCGCTTTGATTACCTTCTGCAGCCTTGTGTTTCCAAGATTATTATATCGTCGTTATGATCGTTGTTATTATCCTTTCCCCCGCAGGACACTATAGGCTTTCACGTTCACGTTCTTCCACCCCGGTAGAGACTGGCTATGGAATACTCCGCTGGTCTCGTCCTCGTTCCCTCGTCGCAGTCGCTTCCACTTAACTAAAAAGCCTTTTAACGAGGCCGACTCCGCGAAAAATGTGCCGCGAGGATGCCACGCAACCGATCGATATCTCGTCACGAGGGCTCGGAATCGAAGCTCCGCTTTTCGCCGGGAAAGAGAATTTCTCGACGCCTTACGAAGAACAGTAAATGCACGCGTTGCTCCCCTGATACGAGGGAACGAGGCTTTTCCGATAATTATTCATCGAGCTATGTCGGCAAACGTAGACAGCTCTACAAGGAAAAAAATGGGGAGGAAAAAAAAGGACGATGTTGTGAGAGGTATCTGTAACAAAAATGAAGAAAAGTTTTCGTTTTGGCTGAAACTTTTTGTTTTCCGGCACGTTTGTTAGGCTTTTTATAGTAGTTCTTGTAATTTCCCGAAGGGTTGTTAAAGTAGAACTGGCCCCGAACTAGAAAATCGAATGCCCGACTGTGGGTGCAGCCCTAAATGTCTCGCTGATGTTTTAGGTGGCGGCCGGCCACATTACCCGACACGTGAACGACCGCCTTCAACCATTTTATTGATCATAAGCGGAATTGTTCCTCGGACCTATTTTTATGCTCTCCGGGGAGAAGAAATGTAAACGATTACAGAGAAAAAAAAAAGAATAGACTGCAAGCGGCAGATTGGAGATGTCCAAATAATTGAAGAAAAAATGTTCTCAGTAATTGCCATTACTAGAAAATTCTTGCTTTACTATTAATTAATTTTATTTAAACAATCGTGTCATATAGATATAGTTTTAATATTAATTTCTATATATCGATATAGTTAAATTAAAATTTAACAAGAGTTATTTTTCTGTATTTTAGTTAATTGATATACTTTTCGTTATTTATGTTAAATTAAATTTTTGTATTTCTTTCTAAAAAAAAAATTAAAATTTTCTCTCATTGTCTTCCTTTATTTTTCTCTATTTTCTTAATTATTCAAGTGCATACAGTGAGGCAGAAAAATGTATGTAATATATATTTACTATCTGATCCATAAAAGATGATTTAAGCTTCGTCATGAATTTGACAAAGGTAATAAACGTGCACACTTTTATTTAATCGCCGTGGCTCTGATTACAAAGCCAATGATGTCGTCTTTCTGCTGGACTTTTTTCCCTTCTATAATGTCTCTAATATAATTATACCGCGTTGCGTTGAGAAATCGCGTTTTTATTGGAGACCGTCATCTTTATTGGTCCTCGGAGTCTCGCAACGTGCTCGTCTTCTTGTTATAACCAATTTGCCTTACGTCATTTCTTTTGATGTTTTTGCTACTATTGTAAACCTACCGGGCCGTTTTGCTGCGGCATGAGCAAGCTTTTGTTATCGTGATATCTCATTATCCGAGACGCGAAATTAATATCGGATGCCGTCATTATACTCTCTCGTTACAACGAGATTGTTGCTGCGATGTGAAGTCGACATTCCGGCGAGTCTCTCTCTGTGACGCGAATAAAACGCGAACAATCTCGAAATCGCGTCGCTACGGCGATAATTCTCGTTATCTTCACAGACAATAATTCAATTTACTTCCCATTTCTTTTTTTTTCCTCTCGTGACACAAGTGTAACGTGATTTCGAGAGAATTCCTTTTAATGCGGGGGACGTAATAACACGACTTTCCACTCTATACTTTAAAAATATTGCAATTACGCTTTTATTTAGGGAAGTTGCTCAAAACCAATTCCTCTTCAATTTTCGAGTCTCTCCTTGCTATCCCTCTGAAGGTTTCAAGCGAAGCTTGAACGTGTAACGAGGTGCATTTACGCATTTACCTAATGCAATACACGGCCTCTACACATATAGACATAAATATCGATCGGTAGGCTGAGGCTCTAACACGCTTGTGACCCCACCTGCCATCTAATCAAGCCATGTCTCGAACATCCCTTACATCCTCTATTATCATCCAAGTTGCGTAAAAGACGTCCCCGATATTGACAATTTCTCCTTTATTTATAAATAATATACATACAGTAATAGAAATCACAATATAACAACGCTAATATTATGCTGCAAAGATTGTTTCGAGTAGACAGAGAGAAACATAAATAAATAAATTAAA